CTGGTTTTCCCTCTTCTTTTCCAAGTGCTCCTGCAGCTGAAGGACTCCACCTCATGTTCAGCCTAACAGGATTTGACAAGAGGACATTCAATTTGGTTACTTTTACATTTTTCACAGGCTGTTTTAGCAGAAAGCCTGATCTTTGTTTTTAAAACCCTCACAAATGAGCGTTTGCCTTTGCTAGACGGTAGAACACTACCCACTAGGGGTAAAGAGAACCTAAAAACCAAGCAGTTGATATCGAATGCATCGATGAAAGACAGCACTAAGCCTTAAAAGCCAATGCGTGCACCCAAATCGACTTTCTCAAAGCTTCATCTTTGCAGTAGGATGCAAATCCAAATCCCTGATGGTCCCACGTTGCTTGTCCTCATGGCATAAAAAGCCTATTTTCTATGGAAATTAATAGGAAGCGAAGACACAGCTCCCCTGGATGACACAGCAACGCCAGGAATCCACCTCAACAACTTCCCCTCCGTGGAGCTGTGGGATGAAGCCTCTCGCCACCCGCAAGAAGGCGCTGACAGAAACGACTGCGTGTGAAATAACTCTGCTGATCCCTAACAGCACCTTCAGTCAGTCTTGAAGTGGTGAGGGGAGCTGTTAAGTCAATGGAAGTCTTAGCATACAGACAGAATTTAGGCTGTGGTATTGGCTTCTCATAAAGTTTGGAGGCTGACAATACCAGAACATGAATGTAATCGTCGTAGCCTTGAAAACTCACAGGGGGTAAGCAGAAGCTACTCCTTCTTGCATCAGTTTTGAATGTGGCATTCGTAACATCCCAGTCCTGCTCTTCTAACTTGACCTCCATGCTGTAATTTACAGCAAAAGCCCTGTGAACTCCATTTGACCTAAACGGATTTAAGGTGGTTTTTTTTTGGAGTGCCATGAATTCCCCTAAGAGCCCAGGTTTAGGCTGAGTGTCAGTGCAATTTCAATTTCTTCCTTGTTTGGGCAAATGTTTCCCTATGCATCAACTGTGAATCTGAGTTCACTGCCTGCTTCTCCTTAGTTAAACTAACAGCAGTTTCATGTAGTAATTTAAAAAGCAATTGTACATCATCTGAGTTACTGGAAGGACTGCAGCACTCCCCTTCTTTCTACAAAATACATCAGGAAACCCTTTCAATGCTCAGAAAAAGTGGGGATTCCAAACCCCATTCCAAACCCCAATCAAATTCAGCAGGGCTCGGATAGCTCTGCTAAAAATTAGGCAGGAGGGAATGACGCATGGATGTAGAGGACCTTTCACTAAGGAGTAACTTACTTGATGTATGCTTCCCCTTACTGCAGGTACCATCGCAGGAAAACAGCTACAATGGACTGGTTGATGCCTTCTAATGCCTCCTTGCTCACTTCACCACATTTTTGGGTAACCAGGTCCTGAGTTACTGCCACTTTGCTTTTGATAGATGATCTCTGCTCTATTTACCTACCAAAGGAGCATTAAGCACTCGTTAACAGCAAACTCTTGGCAAAAGGGGGCCTCTTATTATGCAGGACTTAAAAGAACTTAACATTTAAGACAGATACCTATTTATATACTGCTCTAACTAATGACAAACCCATTAAAGCATTGCAAGCCCATGCTTTTTGCAAAGAGCACACTAATTATTCATTGCTAGAAGCCAGCAATGCCATTTCAGTCACGCTCACTGTAACAAATAAACTGGTTTCTAAGGCATATTGGCACAAGAACCACAGTTCACACTCTGCATGTTTGGGGACTAAGCTCATTAAAGGGGAATAATCGCATGTTGTCTTCCTCCCTTTCATCTCTCCTCTGTGTTGATCAAGCATTTCAGGATAGAAATAATCACTATATACTCAAGAGCTCTTTCAGTAGCACACAGGCCAGGAGAATTACTATTTTATATTTTTATTACTATTATATCAATTAGCAGCACAGAAACATGGATTCACAACTGCCGGATTACACCTTGCCAAGTTTATAATCTCCCTTTTTGCTCACCTGACTTCTAGAGGTTCAGATTTACAGTACTGCTATAATGTTCACAGTATCTACTTCCACAGGAATGTTTCATACTCCACTTTTTTTTCCAAGTACACTCGGCGAGCTTATGATTTAAGTTCACTGGTGTATTTATCCTTAAGCATCACTATTTTTAAGAGTCACTCGTCTTCATAAGGACAGGTCTGCCTTTTCCCATAATGGATAGTAAAATCTTTGAAAGAAACCAAGACAAAAATAAGGAAGAGACCAAGAAACCTATGCAAATGATATCATAAGCCTTCCTTTTCCTACACTAACAGGTATCTTACCTTCACATTGTTCCTTTCAGGTCACAAACAGCACATAACCATGATAGCATCTCATCATATTACTTGTATATGTAATTCTTTAGTAATAAAAACCCCCTCTTTGCTTACATACAGCCACAAAACATTATTTGCAGGGTGAAACACACCTTCCTGTAAAACAATACCCTACCTTGGGCTAAAATTTGGCTTGTGATCCACTTGAGATGCACTTAAATTGAAAGTCAGGTCCTCAAAACAAAGCACACTCCCTTGTGGCTTGGTCTTTTCCATTCAAGCTCCTCGTAGACAAGTAGACAAAGATGACAGCGTTACTGAGGTACCTTTAGAGGACGCTGCACTTGAGCTAACGGAGCTGGACGTGTTGCAGATGGGGAGCTGATGGAACGTGATTAATTTTTTTATTAGGAAAAAAACCATCTAGGTATAACTTGTCAGAAGTAATCAAGCCTTTTGCTGCAGATCGATTAAGCTGCTCCTCCACTCGATGTTGCCATAGAATAAAGTTGCCAGGATGCATGAGCAGTTCAGGCCATTACTGAAGGCACAGGGTGGCGGGGGAAGAAAACTGAAACACAAGTTTGAAACACTTGAAGAAAACTTGTTTCTTTTGATTACCTGCCCTTACCCATCTTCTGAAACTTGCCTGGTGCTCCAGACCAGAAGTTAACAGACATCAGTAGGAGGGATCTGGAAAAGCTTTACCCTACAACTTCTGCACAACAGGAAGGAAAAAAAGAGGCATTATCCATTCGAAAGATACTTCGATATGAGTACAGTTACCAGCTTCCTCATCTCTGTCTCATTTTATCAGGAACTTCAAGTCCTAATGTAAGGATATTTGGACCAAACTGGAAGTTTAGGACAGTTAACATCACTGGAAACATTTAATACAGCATTTTTTTTTTGTCAGTCATATGAACTCTTCACTTCCAAAAACAAAGATTTCATTTTCTTCTAAGCATACCCAGTAAATCCAGTGAAGTCAGTGCTGAGTTTTTACTCCCCAAGGAGAATTTTCTGATGAAACTCTAAGCAAAGCACCCCCACATCATTTAAAATACGTCAGTATGCAATCTGTCAAGCACCCTGATCGACGGCAGCCAAATGCTTCGGATGGAGGCGCAGGATTTTCGAGTAACCTCTTCGCAAAATGAGCCTCACCTCCAATAATAGCAATGATTTAAAGCCCCAGACACAAACCACCCTTCCAGATTTGGATAACCTCATCCCCTTTTGTAAATAGCCAGCCCTTTTTGGACCCATCTTACGTTTCAGGGTGCAGTTTTACTAACGTATGCTTAGCAACAAAGTCCAAAAAAAACCCCCACTGAGAAACTTTCCTTAAGACCTCTACAGAAGGGAACAAGAATGCCACCTGCTGGAAAAAACAGGAAAGAAATTCTGCAGCGAAATAATGAAAAACCCCTCATTTTCAACAGCTAATTTAAAGATGCATGAGTACTTATGCTGGTCTCCAGTTTATAGTTCATAGAATCACAGAATCGCTCGGTTGGAAAAGCCCTCTGAGATCATCACGTCCAACCGCTCCTGTCTACCCCCTAAACCATATCCTTAAGTACCTCGTCTACCCGCTCTTTAAATACATCCAGGGATGGTGACTCCACCACCTCCCTGGGCAGCCTGTTCCAGCCTCTGACGACCCTCTCAGTAAAGAACTTCCTCCTTAACTTCCTTCAGAATTATGCTGGAAAAAAAAAAACAAGATATGGAAAAGAGATCTGCTGCTGCTCCTTGGGAAGCTGCCCCCATTCCAAAGCCATCCACTCACCCCAAGTGGTTATTCACAAACCCATCAAGAAGAACCTCGATGGTAGACAGGAAAGAGGTATTTAAACTTTGTAGCTTCACTCAGGTTTCACCCCAAAGTGGTTTAGGCATAGTTCTTTGCAGGATTGTACAAACCAAACCATTCTCCGAGGGGCATCGTATCGGTTATGCAAAGATGAAATGATCTGCAAGATTATTTGAAATTATTTTAAAGGTGCGTGAGCCCTCCCTCCCACAGAACACATCCCATTTTTCCTCCTAAAAACCTCACCTATTACAGTTTGTCAAAGACTAACCTGCACTCAGAGGCTCAAAGCAGCAGAGCAGTAATCCTCTGTACACCCCTCCAGTATCTACATCTGGAGATTAAATGAAAATAAAGTGAGGTATCATCACAAGCATCAAGCAGAGGTTACTCCCCTCAACTCCACAGGACCACCACCTCTGACTTTACAGATAGAGTAACGGTAAACCTAGTTTCCTTCAGAGTTATACAGCAGGTTCCCAGAAGTAACTGCACGAGTTTCTCCATGGGGAACCGAGTCAAGACAACAAACACTGAACATAGCATAATTTCAAAAGTAAAAAGCCCAGTATTATGGATGCGTGCTGACCTTTTGTCTGCACCTGTGGAAAGTGGATGGTAACACTTCAGGAGAATTATAGAAATACTTTTATTAAAGTAAGAACTGCTATGGGCAAAGAAAAAATAAAACAACAAAAACTATGGAGCTTTCAGCTTCCAACAGAAGGAACTGAAAATGTCTTCAGTTTTGACAACAGCCTCCTGTCTGTGATGCTTTTTGCTCAACGGGATTTCAAAATGAAATTCACAAGTTCAATTTATTCTCTCTTTTCATAAAAGTATGATTTGAATTACACGATTCGCTTTCCAAGCCTGATCATCAGATCTACAGGGAAACACATCAGGTGCTCGCAGATTCTTGGACATCTTTTTCTTCACCATCTTCTGCATCACCTTCTTCTTTTCCTTCTGCCTTCTCTACCTCTGGTAGAAGCCCATCAAGGTTCAGTAGCAAACCTTCACTGGTTGCAGACCTAATCACCAACTTCTGCACAATAGGACCTAGAAAACAAAGAACACCACCAATTTGGTCGCCCCACCACTTACTTCTCATGTCTCCAGGGTGATTTATCTCAGTACTAATCCATACTGTGGCAAGTGCATGATTGGAAGTAGAGTTATACATAGACACACCCCTTCAGTACAGGGAATTTAACATCCACCCTGGCAGATTGAGTTCAAGATGCAATTCACACCCTGCTGCCACAAAAGGTATGAACTTGATTGCCACCTTATCCCTTCAGTACCTCACTGGTGCCCCTGGGCCTTAGCACATAGCAGTAAAGCTTCACACACACACTCCTCCCTCCAAAAAGTGAAATACAGGTAATTTGGGTCCTGATTAGCAAGCTATGGGTGGGAATTTTGTTGATCACCACGACTATGAGCACAAAAGAAACAATTCCTATTCCAGGATCCTACCACCAAATGCTGAGGGAGCCTTTGGACAAGAAAAACTACAGAAACAGTTGGATTTCTTTGTGGAAGATTAAGTAGACCTACTCAGAGCATAGTCTAGCGGTATTTTTAGCATTTCATTAGATAAAGTGACAGAGGAATGCTGTTTTAGTGATAACCACATAGCTGCATGAAGACCTGCTACTACACATGGAAGCTCTGAAAGGAACTACAGAACAGAAATCTACACCTCGTGGGCCTGCATGGTTGATGGTTACCAAGCATATCTACACCCCGTTGTCGTAAAGATAACTTAATGATCAACTTTGCTGCTGCTAACTGGCAAATATTTTTCATCAAGCCAGTAAAAGACACACCAAGACTCAAGCTTGCTACCACAAAACAAACAGAAATGCCACTAAGACCAGAACAGTTTACCCTTAACTAGTGTAGTTAACACATAAACCCATTAAGAACAGAAATACCATCACTTTCTACTTCTATTCACTTATATTTCAAGTCAACCAACCCCTTACACTTTTTATTTGGGCTGAAATGCTTCTAAGGGCATGTATAATTTGCTTTTTGTGGTCTGTTCTGTGTCTGTACAGTAGTTACTATCAACAGCATCAACAGGAGAGATGCAAGATGACTCTTTTTGCAGACATTAGCCCAATATTAACATAAAAAGTTGTTTTCTTTGCTTAAGTAAGGCTTTCCTCCTATGGCTCTAATCCACTTAAGCATCAAGGCTGCAAACCTGGTTTTGTACATCTCACTTCTTTCCTCCCGCAGATGCTTTTGTTGGCTGGAACTTCAAGAACCGCATTAGAAGAGCTGCTACTTACCATAGCTCGATGGCTTGAACGTGCAGATATCCTGGATCACTGTCTTGAGATTGGCAATTATCTGCTCGGTGGGCATATCCAGCTGAAAACACAAAGTTACCCATGGTTATACTCAAAACCTAGATTAACAAATCAGAAAGCACTGGGGACATGTTTATTCTACATTTGTGTTCCCTGGTAAAGAGTTACAAATCCCATCAACATCCTTATCCAAGTGACTCAGAAAAATAGTATGCAGTAACGTATCCACCTTTATTTTCCTTATTTCTACTCATGGCATTAAATTCCTACAGCTCTGTCCCAACACGTACCCTTCAAGACAAAAAGTCTCAGATAACAAAAACGTGTGCAAGTGCTTTTGCAAAAATCATATTGAAATGAAGCATTTAAGGGAAGAAGCTTCAAGAAGCTGCTGTCACAGAACACAAACCAGACGAAGTCAACAAGTATCTGAAACCACGAAGGCAAAAAGACTTCAGGCTGCCCTCTGCAGACAGCTCGGTTCTGCGCGAGACGTCCCCCGTGTCCTCATTTGTCTCCCTTCTGCTTTAAGCTCCGTGTCTTAAAAAGATTTTACATCCTCTGTTTCAAAACTTCAGCTGCACCAATTAAACTTGGCCGCTGCCAACTTCTGGCCTTTTCAAAGAAATCTTAATTGCTACATAAGAAAACACCACGGAGGCCACCTACGTTTGAGGGAGCAGGGGGCTATGTCAAAACTGAACTAAGGGGCAACATGAGATGCCAGCACTGCAAGAGAAACCATCTCTGTGAAACACCAGCTTGGCAGACTCCCAGCAACAGCTACGCTACTGTTTGGAAAGCAGCAACAATCTTTACGCTGCCATGTTAATTCATAAGTGATGATTTTTCTCCCTGACAAGACTTAAATGTAAAAAGCTCTCGATTTAATGGTGAGCAGACGAGCGTAATCACTAAAAGCTCCCACAGCCTTGCCTGTGCTAGATTTCCTTCCAGCGCCGCTGCACAGACAGCAGAATTAGGTCAGAGGATGGCAGCTAGAAAAAGGGGAGGCATTTTACACAAGCCGTAACCTTTGAGTCATCCCTCTGCACACAACTGCAAAGAAGCCTACGCTGCTAATACACTGCTGCCTAGCATGAGTTATATTCTGTAGACATCTGTGGCAGTTAAAAAAAATCTAGGAATTAGGAAAGGTATGAAAGTGGTGAAACTAATGGAGCCTGCTAATTCATTTTAGATGATAACGCAATGACAGGTGACAATCTGACCATGCATTTTACCCGAGTACTCATTTTTACTTATAATTTCATAGGAATACCCATTCGAGTGTTTAAAGGACAGTGCTATATAGAGCAGCCTTTAAAATATTTGCTTTGCTGTAACTATATTTTAAGGAAAAATTTGTGCCTCGCACTTTAATTCATGCAAAGTGTCAGTCTGTTACGTGGTGTTTTCGCTGATAATTGCCACTTTAGCCTTTTTCCTAACATACATCTTGTTTTTCTGTGTACCATAAAGATCTATGTTCTATATCACTGAGCTACATATGATCATACAGATTTATGATCTAGATTTGTATGTCGCGTATACAGAAGTTGCTTTACAGGTCAAACAGCTTCGAGTTATTGCCCTGACCTAAGGCATTCTACTCAAGTTACAATTCTGCCCAAGTGAGTGCTCCTTCCTGACATCCCAGAGCAACTTTTATTTCTTTGCACTGAGAAACTGCAAATCTTGGATAGCTCAAACACTAACACAATCCAAGACAACTACTGTAAACCTTTGTAACTTCTAGAGTTATATTCCTACTGGAATGCCCCTAGCTGTAATCAAGTCACAGAATCATAGAATCGTAGAATTATTTAAGGTGGAAAATACCCTTAGTCACCTCCATTAACTCAGCACATGTGAGCTCTGTGTGCAAGTAAACTTCACTATCACAGAATCCCAGAATCACAGACCGTTAGGGACTGGAAGGGACCTCAAAAGCTCATCCAGTCCAATCCCCCTGCCGGAGCAGGAACACCCAGATGAGGTTACACAGGAAGGCGTCCAGGTGGGTTTTGAATGTCTGCAGAGAAGGAGACTCCACAACCTCTCTGGGCAGCCTGGGCCAGTGCTCTGGCACCCTCACTGAGAAGAAGTTTCTTCTCCAATTTCAGTGGAACCTCCTGTGTTCCAGTTTGTGTCCGTTACCCCTTGTCTTATCATTGTTTGTCACAGAGAAGAGCCTGGGTCCATCCTCGTGACACTCACCCTTTAAATATTTATAACCATGAATGAGGTCTCCCCTCAGTCTCCTCTTCTGCAAACTAAAGAGACCCAGCTCCCTCAGCCGCTCCTCAGAAGGGAGATGCTCCACTCCACTATGCAAGCAGAAAGTCTGCAAACAGCTTAATTTGCAGGTAATTTTTTAGGCTGTGTAAAAATAATTACGCAGTCCAGAGCAAAAATTAAAGATACAAACTACACTCACAACCCTTGAAACAGGCTGATCTATGGATCTGAGGCATTTCACACAGTCCCTTAAACTTCGACACTGCTGAAGGTACTTCCTGCCTGTCTCAGTGTAATGTATAGCACTGAAAGAAGTACAATGTATAACGCTATCAAGAAGTTCACTCTGCAGTATCATATAGAAAAGAAAGCCCTTTAAAGTCATACACACAGCTCACAGCAGCTGGTCAGAATTAACAACCATGCTTATCTGTGACACCGCCAGACAAAACACCAGGGCTTAGACATCTTGTGGACTTCCTTTCTGTACCACTATCAGCTAAAGGACAGCTAAAAGTCAGGCAGGATTGCAAGCAGACAAAAGAGAATGAAAGCAGAATACACAAGTTGGAGCAGGGAAAATGAAAAACACATGAAAGAAAACGCATTAAGGGGTATAGGAAAGAAGAGAGACACTCTCATATAACCAGGTTTCTTATATGACAGCAAAACAGATTCATTTTATGGTATTTCAGATGTAATGCAAATGCTTGTGTGTTTTTGCTCCAGTCCAGGATGACAGTTATCACCACTGAGTATTCAATAATTGGGTTAAAGCAAACATCTTTTGATCCACCTGTGTATGCTGGCCACTGACTTACAAACCCATAGTTTATTTACTTAAGAAAAAAAAAAATCAATTAAGCTTTATTTTAGTCCCAGCAGAGTGCTGGGGAAGGCAGGAGTAAGTAGAAGCCTATGTAAAGATCTCAACTCAGAGGGATTACTGGGAATAATACTTTTCCCATCCTTCCCTTTACTTCACAGGTCAGTTAAACGATGTGGTTAAAAATGTGGGCAACGCAGACCAAAACATGGCTTTCCCTCTGCTTTAATACCAACTTCAGCTCTAATTCTAAAACTCCATGTACAACTTACTCTTGCTATTCTTGTCTTGATCAGACGCTCGTCTTCTACCGTGTACTCAAGACCGTCTCGGAAGAGGTGCAGCATTTTGGGAATATCACTGCCCAGGGAATCTAATTGAAAAAGAGAGAAAAAAGTTGTCTGTGTAGTGGTTATTAGCATGGCTAAGCGTGATATTAGTACAAGAGAGGTCAGTGTTTCCCTTAAGGCAGTTAAATTCCAATTACAACTGCAGTTTCATGGACAAAACACGCTATATAAAATACATTCTCCACCTTTTCTCCACCGTTAATCAGCAGACATGAACAGCAGGAAATGCAGCTGTGTCCTATCTCAGCTGCAAGGGCTCACTCAACACATTCACAACGTCACTGGATTGCTTCAAATACGAGCATCGCTTCTCCCATACCTCTTTTGATGGCTTCAAGAGAAATCAGCCCTGGAGAAGCTACAAACCAAGTAAGTTTTTAATAACATAATATAGCTTTCAATTATTAAAATACCTGGAGTATTTGCTGTTGCAATGCTCTGGACAGGTTTATAGACCTGACTCAAGTGTTTAGGAGGCTAAAAAAACCTGCCTGCAGCTTGGAAAAACATTAAGGCAGCTGAGGCAGGGTAGTAAGAGACACGGTTCAAGGCTCAGTGCTTCACACAGCTGGCACAGGCGGTGTTTGATAAAAGCTTTGGGTTGTTTGGGGTTTTTAATATGTGAAATAGACCCTGACACGTTGCAAAAATAAAGTCAGCCAGCATGGGAGGATAAAACTACTTAGAAACTGGTGGGGTTTTTTTTGCTGTGAGAACCTGACCTGAAGAGGAAGTATCTTGAGCATTATGAAAAAGGAAAGACCACACAGATAAGGGAGCAGGCCGTACTGCCATTTAGAAGAGAGAATTGCCTCTTACTTCTTCTCATGCTCGGGTATTTTCGTTTTAGCTTGTTCCTTAATGGTATGAGTTTAGGCATTATCGCAGGAACGGCTACGTAGAAGTCCACTTGGATTTCATCTTCCAAAATCTGCAATTAAATTATTACATCTATTTAGGAATACAATAAAAGGACCTCAGGACACAAGTTGACCTATAAGCACTTCAGAGTACAGAACCCAACCTCTCACTCTTCATACTGGCTGCTAACTTTGAGCTGGAGTTTGCTGGACATGAGGTTTCTTGCTCCCTCCCCCTCAATAAATGTTTAGCTTTGGACATTTACTCAATATTTAAAAGCAATAAATACCCATTTGACTAATTCAAGTCCTCCCACGACGGCAGCTCCGTTCTCTCGGGCTATTTCAGCTTCTTGCTCATCCTGTTGAGATAAAAAAATAACATTAATACCTGTGCTACAAGTTGGTCTATAGCAACAGCACTGGGTAAGAGATTTACCTTGGCCAACTGGGTATAAATCAGATTACTTAATAAGGAAAGAATAGTTTAAGGCAATCAAAGACCAAAAACACCTGATATGCTGATACTTAAGCATAGGGGCAGCAAGCCCACCTCACTCCAGCTCCCTGCAGGAAGCAGTAGTTGAGTCTTTAGTCCGCTTCCACTGCAGAACAAGGAGAAAAACCCACCCCATTTGCTGAGCAGCTCTACCCAAGCCCTTTCTCTCCCATCTTCACCCTCTGGAAACTACAATAAACCTACTCCATAGAGCCAATGTCTTACTCTAAGCTCAAAGAAAAACACAGAACACACTACTGAAAGCTGCTGTAAAATAAGGCTATTCTACTTCTTAAACTTCTGCTGCAAAGACCATTCAGAAGTTCCCCTCATTTGCCCTCCACAAGGTTTGTTTTTAATACAACAAAAGGTTTTCGCTCTAGAAACTTGAATAATCTCTTCCTTAGTGACATCTATGCAGATGTTTACTCCCTAACTGCATAGCTAGAATAATCTATACCTATGTAAAGCTATCAAGGTAAAAGAAATAGTCTAAGACACTGGCCAGTGCATTCAGACACTGGCCAG